TGTGGACCAAAAGTAAAAATAATGGATATGAATCTAAGCGATACAGCAAATGTGAGAACACTTTAGTCTTGAAACAAAAAAAGATTAAGCTAGTTATCCACAAAAAAAAAAAAAAAAAAGGATTAGAAGGGATTAGAGTGACAAGGGCCAGGAAGGATCAAACCTTCATTTTCATTCATTTATTCTTGAACTGGATACTGTTTCAGATGCCATGTGGACAAAGAAGAGTAAGACAGGGTCCCACCCTAAAGTGGCTTCAGTAGGGGACTGTCACATGGACAGTAAGCTATGAGAATCCGTGTGAGAAAGATAGGCATTCTCCTCTCTTATGATCTGTAGCCTCTGAAAAGCCAGAGGGTCAGCTATGAGTTAATTTTTATTTGATGGCAATGAATTTTGAGTGTTTTTTTTAAATTCACAAAAACATAGCATAATTATGCACAGACAATTGTGGGGGCTCAGAGTGATCACGTCAAGCATAAAAAAGGAAGGATTTCTTACTATGTCTGAGTATGTGACCTGATCTCAGAATGAGCACACCTTAAAGACTGAGGAACTATTTTTATCTTGCAACTTTCCACTCTGCCATTTTTATTTTGAATTGCTATTTCAGAAAGAAGGAAGGAAGGAAGCAAGGAAGGAAGGAAGGAAGGAAGGAAGGAAGGAAGGAAGGAAGGAAAGATCGATCAGCGGAAATCCTTAGAATGCTTCAAGGGATTTTTTTTCCCCATTGGCATATGGACAAGAGATGGGAAAGGAAGGTGCTGCCAATTTGTCAGAAGGTCCTGAGGAAGAGAGCCTCACATGGAAGGCTCCTGGCAGCAAATGCAGCAGAGGAGGCAGGCCAGCTCCTGGGGTGATTGCAGAAGGATAAAAGACGAAGAGACAGCTGTAAGGCTCTGGCTAGTTAACAATACATCTTCTTTTCTCTGTTCCCTTCTCTCTTCTGAAACCTTTCTCTCAACCTACCTAGGAGTGCCCATCCATCCTCCTTGAAACCCCAAGAAAGACTACTGGTGGACATGGAAAATGTCTACCTTGGAGTTGGTCAATAATATCTCTTTGGGTGGTCCTTCTCCCAAACACAGCTCTATTGAGAAGGAAAGTCAGGAAGAGCAAAAGTCTTCTAGAATCAAGAAACTGAAGAACCAAGGACAATTGCATAGCATACTGTAACTCACTTCGCAAATGTAGCTACACATCATAGCTGTCTTGGCAAGGACTTCCTGTGGACTTCAGGATGCATGACTGTAGGAGAACTGGATCCAGGGTTTTGTTTTGTTTCATATGTGTATGTGGGAGGGAGTTTGCAATTCTGAGGAATCAAGACTGTGAGAGGGAGCTCTGCTGGACCAGTCTTTAGGGAGCTGCATTGCCAACCTTAAGACAGATAGTTCAAAAGAAAGATGGGCAATCACCTCTGAAAGCTCACTGGAGAGTCGGTCATGCATCAGTTCTGACTCAATGACAATAAATTAGTTTTTTTTCCTGTTTGTTTTTAATAATGATTGTGAAAAGGTAAGTCTGGTTCCTTGAGACATCTTCAAGAGAAATGGACTTTGGGCTTCATTTTCAGGATTACATTTACTTAGTAGGAACCAGCTGGCTGGGTTTGGAGACTCACCAAACAATGCCCCAAAACATCAAGTTCCTTTGAATTCAAATGGGGCAGCCATCTCAAAGGCAGTTTAGTGCTTCCTCAAAAAGCTGAACATAGAAATTCCATATGACCCAGCCATTCCACTACTTTGAATATACCCTGAGAATATGAGAACTGAGCCATAAACTGAGATTTGTACACCAATATTCATAGCAACATTATTCACCATTGCAAGAACATGGAAACAGCCCAAATGTCTAACCACAAACGAATGGATTGAGAAATTATGGTACACTGACACAATGGAATACTATGCAGCATGCAGGAGCAATAACTTTGTAAATTATTACCTAACTTGGGAGGGACTGAGTGAACTAACTCAGCCCCATAAGGAGAAATATTGATAAAATTGTTATTGTAGAATAAGTATAAGGATCCAGGAGGGGTGGGAGAGGCTGGAAGCAGAGGGATGTGGATGTGCAGAGGGAAGAGGGATTAATCATTGGGTTGTACAATTTGATGGGGGGGGGTAAGGGAAATTGAAAAAATTTGTTCAAACTTGTATTTGAATTTTGCAAATAAACTAGCAGAAAAAGAAAGAGTTTAAATTCTTTTCCTCCCTCCCTCCCTCCCTCCCTCCTTCTCTCTCTCTCTGTATCTTCTTAGAGGCAGATTCTTAAGGCATCCCCTATCTTAATTTTGGGTATTTTCTTCTTTGAATAGGAAATGAGAGTAAATTCCCTGTTTTGCTGACTCTTAAACAACAACAATGCATTCTCAATCTACTTTTGTGAGGCCCTTCTATGCTGGTCAAAATGTGGAAGGCTCCCTCAAGCACTTGGGCTATGTCATATGATGAGTGGTAAAAAAAGGACATTAAATCTGACTTCTTCCATAAGTGGATCACATTTGGATAAAGAAGAGTTTACTGTTATAAAGCAGTAAAGTTGAACACCCCTTTTCTTCTTATGTTTTCACTTCTAATCTATATTTCCATTTAGTGTTTAATGACTTAAATCTCACCTCTAAAATTCCAAAAGTCAGAACATGGAAAATAGTACCAGTAGAACTACTTGTACACACTTGCTGTTTTAAAAGGATGGGGGGGGGGAATGGGATTTCTATACAGATTTGCTTATAAAACTGATTTATACAATAGGATTATTTAAAGTACATGTTCAGGGTTTTGCTTATTGTTAAGAGTAGTTACAAAACAAACATTTTTCCCCCCAGAACATTTGAGTCTATTGCTACTGACCTTGAATCCTTAAGCTTAATTTGATAAACCTTGAAATGTTTCAGCCACATAAGTGTGGCTATTTACAGAATTTTAACACCTCTATTTTTCATTGTTGTAAATACTTCTCTATATTTTAAAATTATTCTACCAATATTTCTAAAGGGTAGTGAACAATACAGTGCTCATGGAACTACGGATATTTCATAAAGCCTTTTCTTCCTTATTATTAATCTGGCCTGTCTCTGTATTTATGGAGTAGGTACGAATTCATTTGGGGCACTCTCTCCTTAGCCATAACTCTGATTAAGCTGGAATTTACAGTTCTCTCTTCCACATTTTCCTTTGTTACACAAATGGCTTCAACAAAATAATAATAAGTTCCCGGAGATTTTGGTGGCATGCCTGAAAACTGCCAGGCTCTTGTCAAGGGCACATAATGTAAATGCCATCATCAAAACTCCACAGCCTGGTTCTACTTGGCCACCTGTCATGTGGAACCACAGGCTGGTCTACCTGCCCCACCACCTGGTTACCATAGTGATTGGGCCAAAGTAATACAGCCAGCTCTGCAACCTGACAGACCAAGCAGAGAATGCTTCAAGCTGGACTGTTAGCTTTAAAGTGATTTCTCTCAAGCTAAGCCTTTCTCAAAATATGAACACCAGGAAAACAATAACATGCACTGGTACAACAGAGCAGAACAATTTGGCTACTGTTCCAGATTGCACAGTGACAGCTGGTGACTTTTGTAAGTGAACAGCATAATAAAATTAGCCTAGCTGAAATATCTCTACTGCCAAGGTTAACATACCCCAGTGCATGGGTCACACAAGGAGACTAAGTAGAATCTCCAGAGAACCTTGAAATGGGATGGCTGAAAAGCCAGATTAGCCACTTCCCTTTTTAATATGCACATCCAACGACAGAAAGGGAGACATCACTGTTACATGCAGACAAAGGGCTATCGACAAAGACCCTGTTAAAATTTTAGGTTGATAATGTAACTCAGGAAACTTGTTCCATTTAACAAGGCTGACACATACGCTGCAGAAGAGACACCTTAGCTGTAAATGCAACTCTCTACTGGGCCACTACCATGCTGCATGGCACAGGGCAAGGGACAGCCACTTTGTGCTTCAGTTCATTCATCTGTAGAGATTTGGACCAATAATCTTTAAGACCTCTGCCAGCTCTGAAATTCTTGGACTCCATGGGAGAAAATTATAAATAATGAGAGGTGGGGCGTGGACACCACTGCATTGTTCTAGGGGACCACAATATTGACCAGCTCATTTAACTCAAGTCATGGATACTTTCAGAATGATAGTCATGAAACAGTTTCCAATTCCTGCCTTGTTTGCTCTAGGGTCCTGTTACAACACCTCAGAAATACTAGAAATACTGCATAAGACCATATGAAGAAATAGAAAGATAACTAGTAAAATGTGGGTGAGGATCCACTCGGGGTGGGGGGAAGGGTAGGAGCAGAATGGTGAGGATGGGTGGGAGTGGGGTGGGGGTGGGAATCACGGGGTCACACAACTTGGCGGGTGGAGGGAGAGGGAGTAAAGGAAATGGGAAAGATCTGGCTGGGGTCTGGAAAGACAGGGTAATGCTGGGCACAGCTCAATGGTGATCACTTTTATAAAACAAAGTAAAAAGGAGTAATATAATAGAAAATAATATAATAATAATAAACTAATATAATATAAAAATGAATATAAAATAAAATTTTAACACAACAACAGCAAAAGAGAGATACTGCCAGAGATAATTTGCACAGAAGAGAGTTTATAAAAACCCCTCCTGCCTCATGCTTCATTACTCTCTCCGCAGGCATGTCATCTTGCGATTCTTCAAACAGTGACAGCTTTTAGGAAGCACAGGATGAGTTAAATAAAGGTCAGCACGTGAAATACGATTGTCCGCAAGTTCTTGTGGCATTATTTGATCTTTAGTTTGTTGACTTTCCACCTTACACCCCTCCCCAACTTAAAATATACCATAGAGACAATTCATATTAATGTCTGATCAATGGTAAAGAGATGGCTGGTTACACTGGAGAATTATTTGGGACCAAAAGACAAAGAAGTACAAGAGGCACAGAAAAGGGAGACCAAATACCTTAGAGAGAGTAACAGACATTGAGAGGGAGCTTACGGATCAAAGGCTGCAAGCAGGAAATTTAGCAGGAGGCTGATGGACTGCTCCACATGGATTTGGTGAGTGGTTGGCATCCGTTTGTTGAGCTGGTAGAAAATGGTAGAGAGCACAGCCTCCAAGCGGGCCACGTTGAGTTCAATGTTCGGGTCCAGGTTGTTGAGAGCATTCTCCCGCAAGGCTTCTATGACGTTCCAAATGTCCACCAGGTGCACTACACACAATTAAAGCAGAGGGAACCTGTCAGCCAAAGGAACGCTTAAAGGCAGCTTCATGATTTTATGTGTCTCAAATGTCCTGGTTTTTTTAGGCTTTCCACGGCTTTGGCACGTCCACCTTTTATAGACAGTTGGCACTAGTAAAGGTCTGCAGTGTATGACCTCAAAGATGGTTTCAACATATACCAACACACAAGTGCATGAGCTACGAGGCACCAAAGTAAAGAGTTCTTTCTAATCATCTTATTGGCCCGTGAAATACAGCTGCTGTTGACATGTTTCATGGGAGGAAACGGCAGATTGAAGTGTTAGCCGACAAATAGAAAGTACAAGTGCAATCAATGGCAAAACCGACATCCTATTGCAAGATTATCTGGCTTAAACCATTTCCAACTATGTGCCAGGGACCCCTTAAACAATGAAGATAAACAATGAAGAAAAGAGTGTGTTTGAAAAAAATGAATGAATATCAAAACTGCATTTGAGTATTTAAAATGGTTTCAGTTATTTGTACATATTTTCAGTAGTATACGTTTTCAGTTAAAAAAATAAAGGGAAAGTGGGAAAAGCAAGGGGACAAGGAAGAAAGAAATTTTTTTTTAATCTGTGCTATTCAACAGCAGAACTAAGTCACACACTACTTAATTAACCTGATCTAGAGCAAGAAGTTGTTCAATGACATGATTGGTCAGTTCATTTGAGTCAGGGATACTTTCACTAGGAAAGTTAAAATTCCCATTTCTTCTCTAATTACAATCAATAAATCACAACCTTGATTAAATGAATAAATTTATACATTATACATCTTGCATAAGCCATTTCACTTTAAAAAATTATATTGGTTTGCTTACAAAGTTTGTGTACATTATGTTTCACAATATTCTTCATTCATATTGTGTTTCCATACCTTACCTCCTCTGTTACCATTCCTTCTCCCCTTGGATCCTCATACATGTTTTACTAGTTATCTCCTTCTATTTTTACAATAATGGTCTTATACAATATTTGTTTTTATGAGACTGAGTTAGTTCACTTAGCATAATGCTCTCCAATCTCACCCAAGTGATGTAGTATTTTTAGAAATCATTGATTCTAAGTGCTGCATAGTATTTCATTGTGTAAATATACCACAATTTTCTCAATCCTTTTGGCTGCGGTTGGACATTTGGGTTGTTTCCATGTTCTTGCAACGGTAAATAATGCTGCTATAGATTCTCACCACTGGGCTGACTGGCTTTAGTTTGCTTGGCTCCACAATCAACACTCTTGGTACCAGTAGCCAGGAAATAAAAAGATGAATTGCATTAGGAAAGTCTGTTGTCATGGACCTCTCCAGAGTACTGAAGAGCAACGATGTTAGTCTGGAGACTGAGGTGTGCCTGATTCAGTCCTAGGTCTTCACAATTACTTGCTATGCATCAGAAAGCTGAGCAATGACTAGGATGACAGAAAGAGAACTGATGCCTTTGAGCTGTGGTGCTGGAGTAGAGTATTGAATATATAATGGACTGCAAGGAGAACAAACAGGTTCTTCCTAGACAGGGTGAAACCAGGTTGTTCCTTGGAGTCAAGGATTCTGAAGCTTTGTCTGACCTACTCTGGGCATGTTGCAAGGAGGGACCAGTCCTTGGAGAGGGACACCATGTTTGGGAGAGTGGAGGGACAGCGCAAGAGAGAAAGACTCTTGATGAGATAGAATGCTTTTTCATAGTTAATATAACTCAGATAAGTTTCCTTTCATTGATAAGTAGGATTCCATCATATGCACGTACCCCACAGCCCTTTAGTTACCAAACATGATGCTTTTTTCCCCTGACAATTGGTGTTTCCCAGTGAATTGGGTGGAAGAGTTTTTGGCAGCCTTTACCTCTAAGGAATTTTCTGGCTGCATTTCCTCTAAGACTGTGCAAAGTAGCCGGGGCCTGTTGCAGCCCAAACAAGTGGTATTTTGTGTAGCAGGCTCACGGAAAAGCCATAATCACACACACTGCAAGTACTTATTTTCCAGGGGCGGCATACTGAGAAGGATACAGGCTTTACAAGCACAAAAATTTGGGTTTCACTCCTGGCTCTGCTAATAACTTAACTGTAAAACTGTGAGCAATTATCTCAACTCTATAAACTGTATTATTCTCTTTCAGGAGACGAGGAAAGGGATGCCGTCCTGAGGGAGTTGTAGTGAGGATAAAAGAGAAATGTCCATACATTTTAACCGAGCACTTAACAGGTGTTCCACAAACGACAGCTATCAGTGCGACAGCAATTAAACACCCGCTGGTCTATGGCAATGCCCGCTGCTAACCGACACCATTTATGAACTCAAACATAAGGTTTAACCTGATCCTCCAAGTTCAAGAAGCTACTCAGCACATATTTTGAAATCGATATAGTGAGAACGCTTTGTTTTCCTGAGTCTTGTGTGTTTTCTGCTGTCAATGAGGTGCAGTGTTCATACTTAGCTACTTCGTTTTTGTTGTTGATTGCCATTGAGTAGAGCACAACTCATAGTGAGTGATCTACGAGTAAAAGACCTGAAGCCTTTCTGCAAGCATTGCTGTTTCTCAAAGTTCATAGAGTTTCCAGAGGGGTGTTGTTTAGGGAGTGGATGCCACCCCTGCTTCCAAAGCTACTGCTCATATTATTAGAAAATATTTGTGGTTGTCCTTTCTGCTAAGTTTCCATCTTAAATAGGTTCTGCGTTTTGAAGGCTTTGGTGTATCTACAGGTGAGATGTTGTTGTTCTTGTTATGTGCCGTCGAGTCGCTTGTGACTCATAGCGACCCTATGTACAACAGCCCTAAACTCCGCTCTGTCCTGTACCAATCTCACTGTGTCTGACACTCCCATCCCAATTATCCTAGTCACTGAATCAATCCACCTCATAGAGGGCCTTCCTCTCCTGCGCCATCCCTCCACCCTCCCAAGCATGATGTCCCTAAGGACCGATCTCTCCTCACAACATGTCCAAAGTATGTTAGACGGAGCCTCAGAATCCTTGCCTCCAAGGAGCCACCCAGTTTAACCCTTTCCAGGACAAATCTGTTTGTTTTCCTAGCAGTCCATGGTATTCTCAATACTCTTCTCCAGCACCACAGCTCAAAGGCATCAATTCTCCTTCTATCCTCCTTGGTCACTGTCCAACTCTCTGATGCATAACAAGTGATTGCGAAGACCATGGCCTGTATCAGACGCACCTTAGTCTCCAGAGAGACACCATTGCTCTTCAGCACTTTGGAGATACATAAGCATATTCCAGCTCTAAAAGGAGATGGTTATTGTTGGCGGTGGTAGGTGCTGCGGACCTGAATCTCGCTCTATGCCGCATCATCCTCCGTATCTGCTGTGCTTGAGCTCATCGCTACAGTCACTGTGTAAACCCATCTTGTTGAAAGTCTTCCTCTCTCTCTCTGACCTTCCTTTCCCAGCACGGTACCTTTATCCAGGGGCTGGCTATTAACCTGTCATGGGTCTGAGTTGAAACCAGAGACTCAAACCTCCTGCTGTAGAGTCATTTCCAACCCATGGGGACCCCTCATCAGGTTTCTGAGCCTATCCATCCATCTTTATGAGAGGGAAACTGTCCACTTTCTCCTAAACAGTGGCTGCTATATTCGAACTGCTGACCTTTTAGTTAGCAGTCTATCACGTGAAGTACTGGACACTATGTCACCAGGGCTCCTTTTGAGTTGTCATTGTTACATGCTGTCAAGGTGAAACCAAACTCATAGCTGACCCTCCGGTGGGCTTCAGAGGCAGTAAATCACATAAGAGGAGACTGTGCCTCCTTTTCCTTCAGAGCAGACAGTGGATTCAAACCATGCACCTTTGGATTGCATTGCTGTTATGTGCCTTTGAGTTGCTTGTGACTCTTAGTGACCCTATGAAACCTCATAGTCCTGAAACCTGCTCTATCCTGTGCTAACTTTATTGTCTCTGACACGCATACTGTCATTACCCCCGTCACTGGATACAACTGTTCCTCCTTCTTTTTGTTTGCATAGTTGAGGTTTCAGCCTCAGTTGTCAAGTCTGCTAGTCTAAGTGTGCTCTATTGTACACAGGGTTTTGGAACGCCTGTTATTTTGGAAGTGGATGGCTGGCCAATTCTTCTTTCTAGTCTGTCTTTAGCGCTCAGATTTAGAATAGTACCTGATAGACAAGTATTTTACAGAAAATGATGGAATGCTTCACGAATTTGCATGCCATTTGGATTGGGCATGCAGTTCTTTATCCATTAGGGCATCAGAGCTCCCTAACCTCCCTTCTGAGTTAGCAGAGTTTAAATGGATTTTACTCCATTCCATAATTAGGAGGCTAATGAGGAATGGTATCTTTAATAAACTTTCTTTGGAAACTTTACTTCATTGATAAGTACTTTTGGAAAAAAACTCATTGCCGTCAGGTTGGGACAGTTCATAGCTGACTTTTCAGTAGGTTGTCAGAGACTGTAAATAATAAGGAAAGAGACTGCTCCTCATTCTCTCAAAGCTGCTAGTGGATTAGAACAGCCAGAGAGGCCCTGATCTTTGGAGGTACAAGTTATAACACAGACAAGTTCAGGACCCAGCGTGGTTGGTAGGGTACTGCTCTGTTGCCCCTACTTCAAATGACTAGAGGTGAGTTCTGGAACTTACTGATGTTCCAGTTTTCCATCTGTGAAATGGGAGTATAATAGTATCTTATGTCTTAAAAATCTTCAACAAGATGACATAAGTGGCTATTGTAACAATGGGGGTCCGCGTATCAATGAGGATGGTACAGGATAGGGCAAAGTTCAGATCTCTTGTTCATGGGATTTCTATGAATCACACTTGACTCCATGATACCTAATAACAACAATAATATCTGGTGGTAGTTGGTAGGGAGTTGTGCGGCTAACACAAAGAGACATCTCTCTGGTGGTTTGAATCCAACAACAACTCTGCAGGAGACAGATGTGCAATCTCCTCTCATGTGATTTCCAGTCTCCAAACCCCACTGGATAGTCAGTTACATAT